AGGCAACATTTCACATCAGAAGAGTTCAGAAAGAAATCCATGCAATATTCAGCCGTCACACTTCCTGTTTCACATTTTGGCACCGTCCTTCAGATGAGGTCCGAGGGAGCGCCGTGAGGTCGCTTGCAGGTCGTTTGGCGAGGAAATAAGGATGTTACATTTCCTGAAATAAAAAAACTGGATCCCAACAGTTTGGTCACTTGAGCCCCTTTCACACACGCTCCTGAAGATTTCACAACATTTACCCAGATGTGACTTCCTGTCCGCGTCCTGCTGACAACAAGACGCCAGAGGAGACGAGTGTAAAACGACCTCGATGATGGCAGAGTGAAACCTGCAGGATGTTTGAGCTCGTTCAGCAGCTGCTTCATCCTCTCTGCAGAGCTCCCCCTGCTGTCAGACGGGAGAACTGCGGCTGTGAGGAAGACGTCTGAAACGTCCAGGAGGGCGTGTGTGAACGAGGCGACGCTTCATGTAAACCTTCACTTTGTTTTGAAAAAGACTCCCATGAGATCAAGAACATCGTGACTTAGAAATGTTGGACTGAAATATCTTACAAGCGGTCAGCGCTGCACGCCACGGAGCGGTCAGCGCTGCACGCCACGGAGCGGTCAGCGCTGCACGCCACGGAGCGGTCAGCGCTGCACGCCACGGAGCGGTCAGCGCTGCACGCCACGGAGCGGTCAGCGCTGTGCATCAAACACTACTCATAAAGACGATATTCAGAACGATCAGAACAATTCATCGTAAAAATCATCAGACGCTATTCAACTACCATGAAGAGGAAACGTTTCCTCCAAACGAACACAACGAGAGGCGAGGCTGCGAGGCGACGGTGTGACATCACACTGCTCCCACAGAAGTTGGCACGGTAACATACTGTACACTGTAAACGGGGGGGGGGGGGGCTGTCCAAAAGGAGAAACATGCAGGCCTCTGCTTTGGCTTTAAGGTCAAAGGCCACACCATTCACTGCCCGCAAAACTAACGAGTGGCGCCCGCACGGCGTCCAAGGCCGCAGGAGGAAAGAGTCTGAGATTTTAAATAAACGAGGAGAGAAGGCGCTCTGCAGAGGAGAAAGGACGTCTCCTCACTAAACTTTAACTCTTTAAATGAAGCTTTGCTTTATGTGCAGGCTCCGCCTCCTTATCAGGCGTGCTGTTTGCACAAAGGGAAATCATTAAAATGTGAGCTCTTGTCTGGTCAGAGTCAGCACTGCAGCACTAAACGAGCTGAGCTTTCAGTCAGCTGTTCACTGGAAGAATAAGACAAAATCAAAGTTGTAAAAGGTCAAAGGGCGAGTTTGTGTTTCCTGAGGCGTGTTAAGATCTAGCACAGAAAAGAAGAATCTGTCGTCTCATGAAGCTGTTCTCTAAAAACGAAGCAATAACAAACCTATTTAACAAGACATGACACGCTCACTCTGGGTTGTCAGTTTGGTAGCCGACTCCCCCCAAAACAAACCGTCAGCCACGGGGCAGACCGGGCGACAGAGAGTCCGCCTGGCCAAACTCAACGCCTACGGCCAGTCGCTTCAGGTGAAGACAGGTAAACGCCATGCTGTGCGGGCAGCTCATCAGAGGATGCTGCAGAAGAACTTCTTCTCCCTGAACGGGTTCTCGGAGGCGGGACGGGCATGATAAGTGGGTCATCCCGTATATGGCGTCACAGTACGCCATCAGGTCTGCGGCGGCTTTGGAAACCTGAAACACAGAAGAAGAGACGATCAGAGACGAGAGAGACAGCTAGGTGTTTGTTCTGCCCTCTGAGTCTGCCTTCTCATCGTAAACAATAGGACATGGAGCGAGAAAGACCGAGACCACCAAGCCCTTCCAGAGAGGGGGCGTGGTCAGACACAGCTCATTTACATATTTAAAGTACAGACACAGAAACAGCCTGTTCTGAGCAGGGCTGAAATAGAGGGTTTATAGAACATGATCAAATACAGGATCAGATGATTTAGAACAAGAAACTTCACACACATGTTTTTGAGGAGCTCTGAGACTTATTTAACCTGAAGAAGAGGAGAGGAGGATATGAGACCTTAAGGGCTTTTTAATGTATTTGTTTTCAGCAACAACTTGTTGGTTTGTGCCATTACATGGATCAACCATTTTGGCACCACACCTTTACAACAGGAGGAGAAAATATGAGATGATTGACAGGTGTGAAAGGCGGACCTTGACCCGAAGCAGACATGAACAAACATTCGTCCTGCCTCAAGGAGAAAAGTTTCACTGCAGATTTTCAGAGTCAGACAGTCGCTATAAATTTTTATAACAGATACAGACTGCAAGTGTAAGTGGGTCAGAGCAGGAAAGAGGAGGAGAGAGAGGAGGAGGAGAGAGGAGAGGAGAGAGGAGAGAGGAGAGAGAGGAGAGAGGAGAGAGGAGGAGAGAGGAGGGAGAGGAGAGAGGAGAGAGAGAGGAGAGAGGAGGAGGAGAGAGAGGAGAGAGGAGAGAGGAGGAGAGAGGAGAGAGGAGAGAGGAGGAGAGAGAGAGAGGAGAGAGGAGGTTTGGTTTTCAAAATACCTTTTATTTTACCACTACCAGGAGAAAATTATAACACTGTCACATCATCACTCAGATCAAGAGAAGGAAATAAATAAATAAATAAAAAATAAAACATAAAACAAAACAAGTGCAACAAAATCACAACATCAACAAAACAACATTTACTGCATCAAAAATGAATAATCAGCTCTCCATCCCCACCCACAGAGCACAAAGCTTCTTCCACAGCCCATACACTATTAAAAGTCTTGCACAT